CTCGGAAGGACATAAGGGAGTTTTTTCCAATTTAAGTGACAATCGAAATAGGATTATTTATATTAAATTTAGAGTCGCCACTTGGGATAATTCATAGTATCCCAAATCACCGAATTAAAATTTCGAATCGAGGAAGTTGACTCTTATTTATGGTCTACGGACACAGAAATCTGGGTAAGGAATTCTGTTAACCCGGAAAAAAGTGTTAGGCATTCCCGAGTTCCGTGGTTTTAGCATGGTCGCTTTGATTATACTTGGCTTAATCAAATTGTCTAATTTCTCATTTTATAACCTATGTGAATTTGCCTCTTTTAATTAAGAAATTATCTTAATAGCAGGTCATGCGCATGTGTACCCATTTGTTTGGTGCTTCAAAAATCATGTCACACGAACGTGTCCACAATTAAAAACACTTTATTATTATTAAGAAATTTTGATTGAAGTTACGCGAACGCATACTCCGATTTTGTTTTTAGAATCGTAATTATGTCACGCGAACATTTCTACAATCACGATGTTATATTAAACATGCCTGAAGCAAACTATGAGTATTCATTTTTTAGTATCTAAGTTAGAATATTTGTGAGGGCCATGGGTGATCTTAATTATGGATGGCACACCTCAATCCATTTTTAAGAACTAATACCCAATTAGGCCTAAAGATGTTCATCCATGGCAAAACAGTACAAGAATTCTAGACATGAACACCTAGATTATGAACCATATTTAAATGACATGCTACAAGCAGTAGTAATATGAACATGAATTTTGAACTACTCATTACGCATACTAATTCTCATATCAAAAAATTACTCTAGTAGTGCTGAAAATAAACGATTAAACTACGTAGGTTCAGCAGCCAAAACAACATACATGATGCCTAAATCAACATTCTTAAATTTAAAGGAACGGTGGACTAATCTAAACCTTAATATATGAAATTCCCTACTAAACTACCGCTCTTTGACAGATCTCAGAACAACTGAAAGAAACCAAAGAAAACTAATAAGGAGCTAGATAAGTCAAGAGAAAACACATGTAAAGAAACTGAAAATCCATTTCTCAAACACTAAATTTCTTATTACAAATACATGTATCAAAAGAACAAACATGATTGCACTTCAGTAATCATCAAGGTCCAAGAAGTACCCAAATACATCAACAATGCATAAAGGGGTAAGGATTCTGCACAGCATAGCAAATAAAAACAACAACCAATATCAACGAAGAGGAGAAAGAACGGGATATCAACTACAATAAACCAGATCCAAACTTAAACCATGCTTAAATCCCTTAAGAATTCAAGAATTTCAATAAAACAACTTGTTCTAGCACTTCTTGTGAAATATAATAAAAATACTCAAAATAGTGCATAAACTTTTGGGGTAGTTTTCAAGGTCTGAATATCTAATTTTTGTGTGAAAGAAAGGGTCTATATATAGCCCTTAAGAATGTCATGTGCTGTTGAAAACAGAATGGAAATTATTCTCTCACATGGTAACTTTTTTTTAACAGAATTGGGACAGCTGTCAGCTTTTGATTGGCTTCAGCATTTGTGCTGGCCAAAATTGGGCCAGCTGTCCCAGATTCTAGAAGCTTCCTTTCTAAAAATCTGATTTCCATTTCTCAAACTACCCTCCTAAGGTTTCATCTATTCAATTAAACCCCTAGAAGTTTTTAGCAATTACAAACTAAAGCAAACAACACCAAAATCTGAATTAAAGGCAAGAAAGATCAAAATGAACAAATCATAATTCAATTAAGCTTTTAACTAAACCTAAATTCTTTTATCATTGAACTTGAAATAAAAAACGAGACAAAACAAAAACATTTGAACTTAACACTAACATGAATCCAGAATTACTGAGTAATGAGCGATTTTCTAATAGTTAAATCTTTTGAACCAAACTAACATCATTATATCAGGGAATCTAAACAACAACAGGAAACTAACATGCTGATTTTAAAATTAAATTAGCTAAACCAATATTAATAAACCCTATAAAGACAAACTGGCCAATCAATGACTGTGATAAAAATGCACAAATTAACCCTAAAAAGATTACTGATTAGTCTAAGTCACTAAAGGCAAGAGTAAATAAGTAATTCTGAACAAAATAATAACCTAAATCATGCAGCTACCAACAGAACAAACACATCAAGAACAATCAAAGAAAAGAAAAACGGCAAAGAAAAGAGAAATAGAAACAAAGCAAGAGATTACCTATGCTAAGGTAATAAACAAATTGGACTCGGAGGACCTAGCCAAAGCTTGAACTGGTTAAGGCGGGTTTGAAAAATAAATCAAACTCACATGAATCAATTGTTCATGTTAAGAGCAAGTGACTCATGTAGGTCTGAAACCTTTAAAATTCTAGAATCACTCAGTAGAGGCTTTTACGGTTTTCAGATTCTCGATCTGAAAATACTTAATTTTGAGGGGCCTTTTAGGAGAACCAACAAGGTATTAGGGGTGAGGAGAGTGAGGAGAAGGCCTGGTGAAATTTTGGGTTTATTTGGAGGGATTAGGGCTTGGACTCTGATTTTTAGATCTAACATTCGAGGATTTAGGTGGGGATTTTGGAGAAAATATTTGTGCATTTGGAAAGGGGAGGGAGCGGAGACTATGGGGTGTTAATTTNTCGAATGGGGGTGGACCGATTTTCAGACAGTTTTATACAAGATTAATGCCCAGTTCACAGCCGTTGGATCACACAAGATCAACGCTTGTGATGAAAAGGGACATAAACGATATCGTTTGGGGGTGAGGGGACCTGGACCGAGTAATTCAAATTTGGGCTTGGATTTGGGGTGTAAAACTCGCCCAATCAACTTAAAAAAAACCAGCCTTCTTTTCTTTTTCGTTTTTAATCCTTTTTCTTTTATTTTTTTCTTTAATTAATATAAATCCTAAATTAAACCTTAAATTAATCTAAGCTATAAAATCAAACTAATTATCAAATCATAAAATTAATAAAAATTAATGGATCCTAAATTAAAGAGAAAAATGATTGATCTAGAATTAAATGCTAAAAGATGCAAAAATGAACCATTTTTGTGGTTTTCATTTTAGTAAAACCATTAATTAACTAATTAATCCTAAAAACATGGAAACAAAATCTAGATGCAATGCATGACATTTTTTATATTTTTCATGATTTTAATAAAAGTAAACATGCACAGAAATGCAAATAATTAACACAAATCCCTACAAAAATCCTATAAAATTACAAACAATTGGAAAACAACCTATTTCTTTAATTTGTAGGAGTATTTCACATAGGGTAAAAATCATGTGCTCACACTTATCAAGTTGGAAAACAAACTAGAAACTCTTTCAAAATCAAGGATATTGTATCTACTTATAAACCCTTGCAATTGCTTCATATGGATTTATTCGGGCCTACTAAAACTGCTAGCATAGGAGGAAAAAGATATGCTTTTGTTATTGTTGATTGTTATTTGCATTTTACTTGGGTGATTTTCTTAACTCATAAAGATAAAGCGTTAAGAAACTTTGAGGTTTTCTGCAAGAAGGTTGAAAGAGAAAAAGGGTATCTGATTACAACAATCCAAAGCGATCATGGAGGAGAATTTGAAAGAAGAGCATTCAAAGACTTCTGTAATGATAAAAGATATACTCATATTTCTCTGTACCAAGATCACCCCAACAGAATGGTGTTGTGGAATGTAAAAATAAAACACTACAAGATATGGCAAGAACGATGCTACTAGATCATTCTCTACCAAACCATTTCTGGGCAGAAGGAGTAAGTACAACATATCACATTCTCAACCGATGTCTCACAAGGCCAATTCTGAAGAAAACCCCTTATGAACTGTGGAAAGGTAAGCTTCCTAATATTAGTTACTTTCATCCCTTTGGAAGTAAGTGTTTCATTCAGAATAATAGTAAGGACAATCTTGGAAAATTTGATCCAAGAAGTGATGAAGGTATTTTCTGGGTTATTCATGATCCTTTAGAGTATACAACAAATGCACGATGAGTGTGGAAGAATCTGTGTATATTATATTTTATGAAAATAACTCCTCGGTTAAGAAATGTATTATTGCATGTGATGAAGATCAAACTCAAAAAAAATCAGGAGACAAGAAAATCGCAAAAGTTGACTGATGGATCTGACACTGTGATAGAGTCAACTAATAAAACTAGCAACAATCCATCAGAACCACCGAAGGAGTCGACTACTCATACAGTTCGCTCAAACAAATGGATAAGTGAACCTGAATATCCTCAAATATTCGTCATAGGAGATCCAAATGAAGGAATGAAAATCAGGCGAGCTCTCAAGAATAAGGCAAACATAGCACTGATCTCTCATATTGAGCCAAAGAAAATAGAGGAAGCTCTTAAAGACTCAAGCTGGATGCATGAAGATTTAGATCAATTCAACAAAAATCAAGTATGAAAATTGTTACCCAAACCTGAAAATATTCCTGTGATAGGAACAAAGTGGGTCTTCAGAAATAAGCACAATGAGGATTGAAAAGTTGTAAGAAACAAATCCAGATTAGTTGCTCAAGGATATTCACAACAAGAAGGAGTAAACTATGACGAAACCTTTGCCCCAGTAGCTCGACCGGAATCTATAAGAATTCTTTTGGCATATGCATCCTTTAAAGGATTCAAGTTATTTCGGATGGATGTTAAAAGTGCCTTTTTAAATGGTTTCATTGAAGAGGAAGTATATGTGAAGCAACCCCCTGGGTTTTTAGACTCAAAGTTTCCATATCATGTGTATAAGCTAACTAAAGCACCATACAGACTGAAGCAAGCTCCGCGAGCATAATACGAAAGATTAAGTTCTTTTCTTATTAAGCATGAATTTACAAGAGGTAAAGTAGATACTACTCTGTTTATAAAAATATCATCAGAAGGTAATTTCATTATTCAAATTTATGTTGATGATATTATATTTTGTAGTACTAATCCTCTTATGTGCAAGGAATTTTCAAATCTTATGCAAAGTGAGCTCGAAATGAGCATGATGGGAGAACTGACGTTCTTCCTCGGTCTCCAAATTCAACAATCTAAAGAAGGGACGTTCATATGTCAAACTAAATACACAAAGGAGTTGATCCAAAATTTTGGTATGAGCAATGCCAAAGCTATTGGCATACCAATGAGTCCCTCAACAAGTCTCGATAAAGATGAACTGGGAAAATCTGTTGATGAAACTAAGTATCGTGGAATGATTGGTTCTTTTCTTTATCTAACTACTAGTCAACCAGATATTATGTTCAGTGTTTGTAAATGTGCCAGGTTTCAGTCAGCTCCTAAAGAGTCTCACCTGACTGCAATAAAAAAAATTATTCGATATCTCATTGGAACTATTTCTCATGGATTATGGTATCCTCATTCTAATACTTTTAAATTAGAAGGGTTTTCAGATGTTGATCTTGCAGGTGATAAGGAAGACAGAAAAAGCACAAGTGGAACATGTCAATTGCTTGGTAAAACTTTGATATCATGGAATAGTAAAAAATAAGGATCAATTGCACTATCCACTACTGAAGCTGAATACATTACCATTGGACAATGTTTTGCACAATTACTATGGATGTCTCATCAACTTGGTGACTATGAATTATTCTTTAAGCCTATTCAGGTTTTCTGTGATAATTCTAGTGCTATTTGTCTTTCAAAAATTTATGTGCATCATTCTAGAGCAAAGCATATAGACATCAAGCATCATTTTATTAGAGATTATGTTCTTAAAGGAAACAAAGAGATATCTTTTGTTGGAACAACCGATCAATTAGCAGACATTTTTACTAAGCCCTTATTAGAAGATAGGTTTTGTGCTTTAAGAGAATTACTTGGCATTAATAATAAATCTTAAGACCTATGTGTAATCAGGTTAATTTTATAGGCATAATATTTTGTTTCTTACTTTTTCAATAATTATGCCTTTGTTTTCCCACTCTTTTCTCTTTTTTCACATCAGTTGTGACATTCAAATATGGAAAGCTAATCATCACGTCTATTCAACTGATGCCTTTTCCTTTTCTGTACTCAACTGTCAGAAGATTCAGAATCACTTCTTTTAGGGCGGAGATCTCTATTCAATCCCGTTCGTCTCCATTATCTAGAAAGCCCTTGTCAGAAGCTCTGCCCAAACCAAAATCCTTCAATGGCTAAACACTCCAAAACCCTTTCTGCCTCCACCAGAAAAAGTACCCGCTCCAAAGAAAAACCCCCTTCTATGCCCCCAGAACCAGTAGACCTAGGGTCCGACCATTCTGAGGGTTTCGCTTCTTCGTAGGGCAATTTGTCTGATCATTCTCGAATCTTAGGAGAAAAAGCTTTAGGAAAACAACCTATGGAAGACCCCACATGTTTCCTCCACTCCAAAGAAATCCAAGATAGATCTTTCTAGCTCCCTAGAATCTGACCTAAATTCTAGAATTTTCCAAACATGGATCTTTTCATCGCTTTAAAGGGCAAGCCCGTTGCTCATGGGAGGGTAGTCAACCTTGACGACATGGAAGCCCTAAATTGTAAGGTAAAAGAGCTTTTCGTTTATCAAGGGTAGTAAAAATTCCTCTATGTTACTCCACATAAATTCATTAAACCCCTAGTAAAGATGTTTTATTCTAATCTTCGCTCTAGTAAACCTGATAAGTTGGAATTTTTAGTGTTAGGAAAGCGCACTGTTCTTGATTGTTCCATGTTTGATTCACTCTTTCAGTGTAGGTGTTCTGCTTTCTCCATGCATTTCAAAAACACCTGGCCCGATGTTTTTGAAATTTCCTTTGAACAAGCTAAACAATGTATTGCTGAGTGTTCTTCTGAATCCCTCTCCCAACCAGTTAGGCCCCAGTGATGTTAGTTTCGAAACTCGAGTCTTGGCTCATATCATAGCAACTACTCTGCTTCTTCGCACTCGTTCTTTCTCCACCTTCTCTAAAAAAGATACCTTTTTAGTCTATTATCTTGTGACCAAACTCAAAGTCAAGTTATCCTTCTGAGTCATCAAATTTATGATTGAAAGTGCAGAAGATCCCACTAGTATACCCTATGGTATGGCCATCACTCACATCCTGGAAGCTCGCCAAATTTCCCTATCATCATATCCTTTTATCAATGTTTCGAAATCTAACAATTCTAGAGCCTTTGCAAGTATGTGGTATGCGAGTGTGAAAGGCTCATGGGTTAAGAAGCACGAAGGCGAAATCAAGCATGATCCAATAGATTTCAAGCCCAAACCTTCTGCCTCTCATCCTAGCCCTAGTGATCCCGACCTTGCTGAAAAACTTTGTGCCACTGACAACCAACTCTCTGCAATTAATGGTCTTCTCACAACCACTCAGTCCACTGTTGTGACATTCATGCCATCTCCAAAGAAACAGGGTCTAATGTGTCCAAGATAAGAGTTGTTGTTCTCAGAGTAAGGGAGAACGCTGTCAAAGCATTCAATTGTTCTCAGAGTAAGGGAGAACGCTGTCAAAGCATTCAAGGAGGTTCATGAAACGTTTGATGGAATGAGCCCAATGCTAGCTTTGACCAACTGAAGGAGGCCATCTACAATACTCTCACCTACTTTTTGCGTCGCTAATATGGATGTTTTAGACAATATTTTTTGCTGTGCTATTTTTGGATTGTTAAATTATTCATTGGACAATTTTTTTGTTTATTATGGTTGTTTTTGCTATAACTCTGCTGTATATAATGCTATAGACCTTAGTTTAATTTGTGATTTGCTCTGTCTATTCCCTCTTTGCTGATGCCAAAAAGGGGGAGGATGTATTTACACATTATATGTATTTACTCAGGTACACAAAGTTTAGTCGACTGAAAGGTAAGTGCACACTAACATCTTGGCTGATGGGAGTAATAGATCCTGTGCAGCAGGAGTCGACTACAAACTTAGACCAGTCAACTGCATATATTGAGGGGGAGTACAAAAACAACTATAACCATGGACCAGTCAACTGCATACATTGAGGGGAAGTAAATCATAAGGAAGTCAACTGTTGTTTATATAT